ATGTAAGGACTTCTTTTATCAACAGACCAAGTTTTCACCGGTCTTTGTCGATCACAGACACATTCGTCTGACTGAACGAGTGACGCACAGAAATGGCGTATTGTGGCAAAAGCATGGCTGAGGCGGTGAATTGCAGATAAGTACTCTTATCGCAATCACCACACTCGACTCTACAACGCTTCCTCGGAGTTACTCCGGTACGCTTTTCAAACAGTAGGGTCCCTTCACTCATGCCAGTCTTGTCGTAGATCCTGAACCCCATTTTGTTGAGGTATTTTCTGATGTGCTCAGATAATTGGAGAAAGTATAGTGAAATTGCTAACGTCCTCATTGAATACCCACTTTTCAGGAATACGTAGTAAGCATGTGAGATTTTAGCGCCCAGGGCACAAGCACTGTTTCACGATTCCTGCGCATGCAAATGCGTGTTCCTCACGATGTGTCTGAACGGGAACGGGCAACGGGTTGGGCACGAGACCTTGGATGTAAACATCTGTTCGAGAAACTCGGTTTCAGAAAAAGGAAAACTTTTCGAGACCAGTAAATGTAAGCACAACATACAGGCTACTATCGATTCCTGAAAAAGCTCCAGCCGTATGGGCTGGTAACGTTTCATAAAGCAGGATTTCAATTCCAGCTGATCATCCCAGCAAGAATTACAGTAACATACTCAATTTTAGAACTTCTCGATTTGTTACCAAATCCCGCCGCTAGCAGGATGTCTTACGAAGCGAAGAACAGTAATAAGTGTTTATGCCAACTGAAAGAATATCAAGGGAAAGAATGCCTCATATCATCCCTGGATGTCGCGGCTGTTTTCAGTAACGTAGATATGAACATGTTTGCCGATATCCTCCCAGACATTTTTGAGAACCCGGCAAATGAGTGGAAAACATCGGGAAACGCGTTTCGAGCCTGCAGCATCGATGATTTGATAAAAAATCTTTCGCCTTATGATGGAAGGCAAACATTTTTTTTAACAATATTTATAACCAAAAATATGTCATTCCAACGAGCTTCCAAGCGAGTGTCGTTTTGGCTAATTTCTATCTAGATCACTTAGACGTAAGAGCCTTAAAGGAATGCCTAGTAGAATAAATTCTACTGTAGTTGTTCCACGCCAGATTTTCAAATCACATCCTCGTCTTATATCAAAGAAAGAATGGTGTGTTCAAACAGCTGAAATTATCCAAAGATCATGTGAACAAGAAGACGTCAACGATCGAATACGATCCACCGAGGCCATGGTAAACTAAAATCTACCATTCCTAGGAATGTTTCGAAGAGGACGCCATAGCTTCAATGTGAAGTTTTCGTTTGTCAGTAACCGACTCCGTCGAGCATGTACTCGCATCAAAGATCTTATATCCCACCCGTTTGTGTAGGTGTAAATGAGCAGGAGATAAGACGCTGAAATTCGACTTGTTTACCAAGTATTCAAGGAGGACAGTGAACAGTGATCGACTGTGCCCAAACGAGGAAGTATTATGAGAACAGACATGGAAATTGGAAATTTGTACATACCATGGTATCTGAGCATATGAGGAGATACGTCAACAACATAGGGTTAACATCTACCACCAGAACAGCATGAGTTTAAAGATGCCTCCTTTCGAACGGTATACCGTAAAAACTCCAAGGAGACGTTGAATGTGGTTTGCAGATTCGAGTGCGGAGACTGCGATAAGATATGTTGGAGAGGTCGACCGGAAATTGAATGTGCGGTTGAACAAACGATTCTCTGCAGTTCGCCTCTAGCTCCCTCATAATTCTCTATGCAAAATACACCATTTCGATGGGACACTCGTTCAGTTAGATGAACGTGTCTGTAATCGACAAAGATCGGTCAAAACTTGGTCTATTGATAAAGGAAATCTTTTCATATTTTAGCGATGATAAATCGTGTGAAAACTGGGATTCTATTACTTAACTAATGAGTAAAAATATCGAAGCATGAAATTTGTGGCACATTAAACTCTAAAGTTCAATATGATTAATATGATTGCATAAATCTAGTGTCATTCTGCCACTCACTTATTTACGGCGACTTGTAGCCTGACTATGCTGCGGGTGTGTACGAAACGCTTTTGTGCAAATAGTGACAAAATCTGTATGGTTTACTGTCTTCAGTGATAAATCAGCAGCGCAGCTGCAACTGCATTAACGGAGCCCAGATGTGAAATGTTATAACGCATTTTTTGGCAAAAGTTGTACGATTTTGTCTAATTGAGAAGGATTGGAAATTTATTAACTTTTAGCTATTAAAATTCATTCAGTAGAGCAAATCTAATAAACATTAGTTGTATATCAAAACAATAGACAACCAGATTTACATGTAACGCTTTTCGGGTCGCCAGGTTCAGAAAAGATTGTATTTCAAATCACAATCGAAAACGTTAGGGCAATAATGGAGCAGAGATAACCATTTTAGGTATAAAACCAACGGAGTCAAGGAGAATGCTCGAAGAACGGAGTATCAAACCGAAGCATCTAAAAATCAACTATGAAAAATTGATTAATGTTTTAATGCAATAGCTTTGAATGCATTATTATTGCATGTGAAACTGCTGTATCAAAGACATGATTAGTTTGTTAAGTGTTCTGCTTAGACAAGAGATGGTGATGTCGATTGCCGTGTCATTTTCCTTTCTTCAGAATATTCTGACCAATAAGAGATGCGCGAGTACAGTAAGAACGATCAACGAAATTAAAGCAGGCACAACTGAAAGCAACAACTTCTATTAGACACCACATGGCAGCATATTTCGCAAAATCTTGTGGCAAGATTTTTTGAGGAGGTTAGGCAAAAACCTATCAAGCTCACGTGATAGCTGGAAAGCTAAAACAACTTTATAAAATA